AATGAAAGAAACTGTCTTAAAATTCCTTAAAAGTTAAGTCACTTGTACACACTGACTTCTAATTCACAAAAAAATTAGAAGATTCAATAGCTTATAATCCAATTTCTTAATATATGATACTATAAAAAAAATCCCATTACTTTGTAGATGATAGGCCCAGAACATTTATCACCAAATAAAATCAGCTGAGAGATCATTATCTGATTTGAGAATTTAATGTAGTAACCAGCAAATTAAATTTCAGAGCTTCAGAAACCAGAGCAAATTGAAAGCAGTAAAAACCCCAAAGTTGAACATCAAGTGGATTTTCAGACTAGGGCTGGAATAAGAACTTCAATATTCCCTATAGACAGAAGCTGGTTCCCATAGTGTAAAATGTAACTGAGTTCTTTAAAATTCTGAACATCAGTTAAAGATGGAGAGTGTTTTCCATCAAGACTTTGTTTTGTTTTGTTTTATGGGGTAAAATGCAAAATTAAAAATTTCTCCTGTACATTCGTTCTACTGTGCAAGAGTCCTTCTTGATAAGCTAATTTTCTTCATAATGAGCTCTGCTAACATAAAATAAAAACACATTCAGATTTTAACTCTATTCTTGTAAGCCCAGAGCCTATTCCAATAGCATATTTCAGCAATGCTATAGTGGATATATTTTTGTGGTATTTATATATGCCTCACTAAGGCTTAATCTGGTAAACAATGTCACTTCAGAAGAGAAGCATTAGTAAATATAGGAAGTCATGTTCTAAGAAATACTCTATTGATTAATAATTAATTCTAACAGCCTTATTAATTGTAATTGACTCTTCTTCAGGTTCTGTGACATGCATCACAGAATTGCATATCAATTAAATTAGAGTTATAAATGTATCCTGAAAGGGGCAGTGTTTCGTGACAGCAATGTTTTACTGCAACATCGCTTTATGCATCATTTTATATCCTGGGCATCCTGCCAATATTGCATTACCTAAATATCCATTTCATATAGTAACTCTGCATCCTCACAGCAACTTATGAAATCAGTCTAATTATTTAATTTTAGGTTCCAAATCAACATTCCTTCCAAAGCATTAATCTAGTGGTGAATCTATGCAATTACCAATTTTGTAAAACTTCTCACGTCTGTGTCTGGTAATTTAAACTACTGTTAAGTAAGTGCCTTTTTTTTTTTTATATGTATGTATTTATGTAAGTGCTTAGAAAATAAAGCAATGGCTAAGTGACACTGTGTATCTCAGTTTCTTCTTCCATCATGCCATACCGGTTTGCTTACAAGACACTATGACCTTCCATTTACTAGAGGTGATTAAGATCCTATTTAACATTATCATCTCCATTTTCCCAAGTATTTATCTGGGTCAAAATTTTGATCTATATCCAAAAGTTGTTTTGGGCATCTGTTAAGTGTGGAGGAATTAACAGAAATTTGATTATAACAGTTCTGCAGTTTTGACTTCCATTAAAAAAAACAAACACCCCCCCCCCAAAAAAAAAAAAAAACCAAACCAAAACCCACAAAACCAAAACCAACAACAAAACTAAACCAGTTTTGTCAACTGATAGTACTGCCTCCAGACAGCTGAGAAGAAACAAAGCACAGACCAGAAGAACAAGGGAGGGAAGCTGATCTCAGACAAATTCTCTTTTTTGTAATATGAAGGTAGCAAAAGCTGGTTTATGGTGATTTGGTTGGGTAAAGTTCAGAAGTACCTTCTTTTGATTAACCTTAGTCTTGTTGTATAACTCTCAAAAGAATTATCCAAATAAGTAAATATATTAAAATGCTTATGAAAATCCTGGAACACCTTCAGATATTAAAGAAATAAGATGATCTACTTTATACCTAAATTTCTATCTAGGAACACAACTATTTGTTATTTTTTCTCTTCCTTTTTGATATAAAAAATGCCAGTAAATGTTCTTTTATATTTAACATTTTCATTCTGGGTAGCTATCTTTCAGGATAGATATGCCAAACAATTTTTTGCTTTGCTTTTCAGAATTCTTTCAGTATTCAAAGTAGAAAGGCGTCATTAACACGAATGATTCTGTACTGGCAAGAACCCACAAACCCTGTGTCAGCAACTCTGGTATATTTGTTGACTCAGTTCCTCTTGTATATTTATAAGGCAGTTGCCTAAGTGCCTGAGATATTCCGATTCCTGTATCCCAATGGACTTTAAAGGTCCGGCTCTAATGATGTTCATAAAATTTATGGTGATAAAATAATTTATACCACTCTGTCAGTCAATGAATAATCATTTGACATGTGTCCTCCTCTGTAATTACTGCATATTTTGATAGAGTTTATGAAACAGGTACTGCACTGACTTTTTGGATAGGCCAACCACATGTAATGTTATCTCCTCCCATGACACTGCCTTTTACAGTTGGCATATTATGTCATTAGGTTCTTTTTTGTATTTATTGTGTTATCATACAATATCCTATTACTAATTTATCATGTCTGTTTTACACAGTTGCATTTCTTTTAATACACAATGAAAGCCACAGAAGGAACTGTTTCTAGCTTTTTCAGGGTGGCTACAAGAACCGACTGGTCATTCATCCAATGAATTATATAATTTCCATAGTTTTTAGTCCAAAATATTTCCTCTATTATCACGTTACTAGACTGGGGTCATGGTACTGCAATTTAAATAAACAGTAACTCCATTAAGCTTGTCTGCTTTTACGAGACCTCATGATTGAAGTGGAAATAAAAAAGCAAACTAATCTATAATCAATTATTATCAGAAGCAGAGTATAGGATCCTTATGAACCTTTAAAAAATAATACAGTCAAAGTAAACTAAACTTAGTGAGACTTGGTAATTAAGAGCACTATTTTACTTAAAGCATTTGATATTAAATAGTCCTTGCCTTGCATTTTCCATTCTATGTAGACTGTTCTTATGTGAAAGATCCTGTGATACTGACATTAAGCGACTTTCTTGGACTATAAAACATTGTAACATAAGGTAGGAGAATATGCCTTTATACCTGTATCAATCCTAAAAGGAAAACATTTTAGTGTTTCCCATGTACTTTATGGAATCAGATCTTTTTGTTATATACTTACGTGATAAAGTGGCACAGTATTGTTTTCTGCTAGCGAGAAATTCAAGACATCTTGCTGTCCAGGTTCAAGCCTAACATTAATAGTAGATGTCAATACAGATGGACTAATAGGGTAGTTTGGGCTGCTTGTGTTTTTGCCCTTTTTTCTTGACCTACGACCTGTGTCTCTTTTGTTGTCTTTTTGTGTCAAAGGCTCTTCTTGGATAACCAGTATCTTGTCATCACTCAGATACCGCAGGAGTGAATTCTCAGAGTCAGTTGTTGGAGGAAAAAAAAGAAAGAAAAAAGAAACATTAGTAAGAGGAAACACAGAACAATTTGGGCGGCAACTCTTATTGTTGGCTTGGTTAATTCCCCACTTCATCTGAGGTTCTTTCCTCTGCAAACAAACTTATTTGTACCAAGGTTCCAGTCAGGAGCAAAATAAGTAATTGTTAAACCTGACAGAATCATGTGAATGTCAAGGGAATTGTGAGGGCTTGCACTGGACTTGATATCACGTTTACTGGCACGCCCTGCTATGTGAGGTGAAAGTGAGCATATACACAAAATATTTGTAAATTGTATCATGCAGGGAGCATCTCTAGGACCATTCCAGAGACAGGGATTTTAATTTCAAGGAACCTGGAATAATGGTCTTAAGGAGCTGTGCAGTATACTTGGGCACAGTTTCAACATGGGAACTGTCCAGGCAACAAGTCTGAGGAATGGAATCTGTCTGTAACAGTGAAACACAAACTAAACATAAATCAACAGATTTGGAATAAATCAGAAGAGGCTTGTGCCTTAAATGACATTAATTTTCTCTTTGAATGGAAGATTATTGAAAAAGGTAGTTTAAAATCCTCTATTAATTTCAGGAGTATAATTCAATGTTGTCACATTATAAGGAGTCAAGTTGAACTCCTCTCAGCTACTCACACTGTGCCTAAAAGATCCTGAAAAAATATATCTATTTAAGAATCTTTACCAATTGGTATAGCAATAAACATATTTGCATATTTGAAGAATAATTATTTGAATGATATAATTGCTTTTTAGCAGAGGAAAGAAAGGAAAAAAGAAACTTTGCTATCACCATGCTTCTTTTAAAATTCCTAATTCTCACTGGTAGCAATAGAAATGTATGTGATTTGGACTGCTTGTATGAACACTGACAGTACAATTGATGATTCTGGCTTCAAATATTCATTCATACTAATTGAAATGTGATTCAAACACACTACCATACATCTATAACATCACTTACTGGTTTCTAGAATCATGAAGATTAAGAACTGATGGCTATTAACATATATCTGAACCATATGTCTTTTTTCCTCTTGATGTTTATCTTGCTTTATACTAGAATTAGACAGAGTAAATCCCTCCCACTAATACAAACTTTTTAATTTCCAGAAATAGAAAAACAAAAACTCAGGTACTAAACTGGCTCTTTTATGTTCTCCATGGCACCCAAGAAACACAGATTTAGTTCCTGTGATGATATCTTCATGCTTCTTAAGTAATGAAGCAAAAAAAAATTGGAGAACATCAGAGGAAAAAAAAATACTCACCTCTGCTTCCCCTCTTGTACATGTTTTGTTCTTTTGACTCCCCTATCCAACTGTACTCAGTAGGCATAGAAACAGGCCTTAAATCTCCTGGAAAAAATTCAAGAGAAACCAAGAGAATTTTTGAAGACTAAAAATAGAAGGCTGTAGAGTAAGTAATGCCTCTAAATTACAGGCACGACAAAACCCTTCAGAGCAATCCTTTTTATCAGCACCTATACGTTATTAAAGCTGTACCATTCAGGATCAATTAAACATCACATATACTGGATTCCCCTCTTCTTTATACTGAGCTGAAGGAAAGTACCACCGACTTTGGTGAAATTACTTGTAAATGTAAAGGAGATTACAAGTTTATTTTTAAACTCAGTTCTGTAAAAACTTGCTCGTTCATTAAATAGGTGTTTTGGAATAAAGAGAGAAGCAGTTTTTAAATGGACTAATATGCTTTGGTAAAACTAGAAAGGCTATTAATACAGATACAACATTACATACCTATCAGTTAAACAGTAAAACCTATCTGACCTGGAAAATCACATGGTCAGTAATGACTTTTAATTAAGATGATTTTATGGTACTATGGCTGTAAGATACTAATGTGCATTAGTCACTCCCTGCTACAGTATCAGTAAAACATTGATAGCAGGCCATTAAACAAGGAATACTACAAAACTGACTATAAAGCCTTAGCACTTTGGCCTTGTCAGTGTGCATTATTATCACAAAATACAGAAACACATCCTCTAGATGATGGGTTAAATTTCTGTCTGACCCATAAAGCCAGAGATTTATTTTTCTGTGTGCCTGCTGACTAAATTTTGTGTTTCTTTGGCATATGAGCAAATTTTTAGAAGTAGTTTGCTACTGTTCTGTTTCGAGGATAATTATAGAATTTAAATGTGAACAGTGTTTCTTTTTCATTATCAATTTCCCCAGGTTGATTAGAATGACAAAGTATTTTCTGTGGATTACTTGCATGCTAGTAGAGTTTTTTTTATTCACCATTCTTCCAAAATACAGTTTTTTAGCTACTAAAGTATCAGAAGATTTTAAGATTTTAAGAATGAGCAGGTATACAAGACAAATACTCTCTGGGTAACATGATGGTGGTCTGGGTGGTCAGACACTGGAACAGGCTGCCCAAGGAGCTGTGGCTGCTCCTCCCTGGAAGTGTTGAAGGCCAGGTTGGATGAGGCTTTGAGCAGCTTGGTCTAGTGGAAGGTGTCCCTGCTGATGGCAGGGGAGTTGGAACTGGATGAGCTTTAAGGTCCCTTTCAACCCAAACCATTCTATGATTCTATGATTCTCTGAAAATTTAAGGGGTAACATATACCTAGAACTGAGATTTTCCCATATTATAGTTTCCCTCATACCATAAAAATCAGTGGAATAATTAATTGTATGGAAAAAATATGTAGTTTCCCTGTCTGCCAAACACTAGCAAATCAGTTTTAAACAAAAATTCACCAATTCATTTTTGGCAATATCTTTTATATAGTACAAGCACATACATGTTTATATACCTGTATGGTCACATGGATTTACATACACAAGAAATGTCTATATAAAACCAGAGTTAATGATTGTTTTAATAGCATCTTATATATTTAAGCAGTCCCCATTCTAACATTTTGAAATATGTTTCTCATATTAACAAATGCATTGTAGGATACGACTCATGTAATTATATCCATTTAATAAAGCACTGAATTTTGGAGGTCTTTATATCTTATAGATACTTTCATACCACAAGTAAGTCTTTTCAGCCCCTGCACTGAAGTTTAACAACCTAGAACATTGCAACTAGAGTAATCTCCAAGAGCTTGTGAATGAAATCGAGTAAATCAAGATGCTGGCTTTCTAAATAACACGAACTGAAGTATCATTCAAAATTTTAAATACCCACTGCAGAATAATCTATAAATAACTTATAACTATTCCTGCACATAAACTTTTGTTTATTATTCAGAGGCAACAGGTCATGGTCCAACAAAGAATGACAGATGTTTGGGGGTGTTGCAGTGTTAATAGCACAATTTGTAAATTCAATCAATTTAAAAACGTTAAAGAAATCAAGCCTACCATGAGTGGGTGTTTTTTCTCTTCTCCGCACTCCTGTAGCTCTGCTTCTCTCATACTCAGAGCCCACGGGGTGGCCTTCACCTTCAATTAAGGTGTAGTATTTCCCACTTTCATGCTCGAGAAAATAGCTCGGAGACTCAGAGCCTTTCATTACAGATTTTCCAAATTTGCTGATGTCATCACAAGACATTATTCCAATTTCATCCCTAAAAACAGGAAACCACAAGATTATGGAGAAATTAAACATTTTATGAAATGTTTAAAAGTGTAGAACTGTCTCTCCCAAGCACTACAAATAACAAGTCCTGTAATTGATAACGCTGTATGGGAGAACTTTTATAAAAGTAATTCAATTAAACAAATACAAATTTGCTGTATGGGAGAACTTTTATAAATAAAAGTAATTCAATTAAACAAATACAAATTAATGAAATCATCATTAGATTCCATTTTAACTGTAAGATAAACATAGTTACTCAGGAGTTTTCTAGTATCTTAAACTGAGCATAAGCAATTGGTATAACATGAAAAGGCAAGGGTTTCCCTTGCAGAAATGCATGTTTAGAATAAGATACAAGTGGTGACATAAAAGTAAATAAAACTAGATTATTAAAGACTTCTTTATATTACTAAAACCAGGTTTTGCTTAACTTGTACCTAGCTAAGTGAAAGGTAAGTCTCTCAGAATGATGATATTCTGCTTAATTTATTTCTAGCTATTAATTTTACTAAATATTTAGTTTGACTGCAGGGCCTTTTGTCTGTTTGTTTTTTATTGATCTAGTGAAACGAAAGTGTAAAATTTTGTTTTTCAAAACCTCAAATTAATTAGAACATAAATACCTGGGGCCATAAAGTCCTGACATAGGAGACAGAATGAAAACATCCTGGAGCGCAGAGTTCTCCATTTTTGAGGATATGCCCATTGTACTTGTTGGTGTTGTAGAACTGCTTGTTGGACTTGTTGGAATTACAGGCTGTGGGGGGAAAAAAAAACAACACATGAAGAATTAAATTAATGTTTTCTGTGCTACAAGTAACAACAAGGTCAATGCACGTAATTTTAGGATTAGCCATTTTTTTGAATTATTGAAGTTTCCTCCAAAAAGATGTCTACTGAAACACTGATTTACCAAAGAGTTCAAGACTAGTTATGAAACAGACTGATAAAAAAATCCAGTGAAATTAATTTAAAAGCCATCTCATGGGAAAATCTGAGACTCAGAATCAAAATATGATTTTTAACCAATGCAGAAAATCAATTATATGGGGAGAAAGGACATACACTATTAAATGCCATTAATATGAAAATTAATTACAGAGCTCCAGAATACTTGCACTGAGTGATAGTGTCCATACCATAATGTTAGTTTCAGTGGAAGATTTATTGTTAACAAGGACAGAATACCTAGATTTTTTTTAAGAAAATAGAATTCATAGTAATCTTTTTTTTTCTTTTTTTATTGCATCCATAGCTGTGATGATTGTACCACAGTGATACAAATACAGGTTCCATGGTGACTAGCAATGAAATATAAAGTAACGCCAGCAATGAATGTGAGCATCATAAATATTAAAAGTATTAATAAAGTATGGGGGTCTTTGGGTATTTTTGTGGGGTTTTTTTTAAATTTTTAAATGAAGTTAAAGACAGTTTTCTTACTCAAATGCTATAGGGAATCTCAAATCGGTGCCTATAAGGACTACAACCAAATATCCTGTGCAGGATACAAAGATATATATACATAAAAATATTTTTCAATAAAGGTACAGACTGTGTTTATATTCAAGAAATAGAAAATATTTTTATTTAGTATTATTGTTTAGATTTTTGTATGAAAAATTCCCATTCAAATACAAAATTGTGCTTAAGTAGATACAACAAGTTTTCTACAGGTAGAAGGAAAACACAGTGACCTAAAAATTGGATGAAAACTATGAAGACCAATCTTTTTCTAAATACAAGGCTTTCTGTCTTCTAGAGATAAACACTGAAATTATTTTTATATGATTAAAGAAGCAAAATCAATTTGAAATACCTAAGAAGGATGCTTTTTCATGATACCATCAGTCTGCATAGAGGTCTAAATTATCCTACACTTCTATGCTTCCTGCTAAGCCTCTTATACTCTGATCAAATAGTTTAGGTTTCTTTCATATTATCAGTATAATTAGATAAGGTGACTGCCAAAGACAGGAATCATTCTCTACTTACTTTCTCATATCTTTGGAAATCAGGGCTTATAACCTTATTCACAGTATCAACCACTACATTTAGAGTAGTACCATTACTGTTGCAGTTTTGGTGCAGCACTATTAGTAAAGAGACTAAATAGAAAGCATTCTAGTAATTCTAGCCCAACTTACCTGCAGCTGAGTTTCCCATGAGTCAAAACATAAATTATCACAGAAAGACAAGTAGAAAATCCATTTCAAAATCAGAAATTACCTATATCAAGTCTCCTGAGAATAATTTCAATGGTTGTATATTCAGCAGTTGTCAAGTTTACAGGTTAGTCAATTAAGTTGACAATAGAAAAAAAAGGTGTGGGAAGAGATAATATAACTGTTCAATTTGCCCCCAAAGAGGGTGATGGGCAAATCCTGAGAGATTTTTTTTTTTAAATCTAACCTTATAGCAATGTAATCTTTCTTTTTTTTTGCTTCAGTTTAAATAAGTTCTTGTCCTACCTATCCCAGAAAGTGAGAACTTTCCTCTTCACTCTTCTTTAACTTTTTATTTATTTCTTTTTATATCATGAATACTGTGTTTCCCCTTATTTTGGCTAGAAAACAAACAAAAAAAACCCCCTAATTCTTCCCTTATAGGATTTGTTTTTTAAATCACTAATGAATTGTACTTTCACTAACTGATTAGACTAGGTATACCCAGTGTATACCAGGTGTACTCAGTACCCAGCTGAGATTGTACTAATACTGAATAAAGTACAACAATTATTTCACTTATCTTGTGTTTTATATTCCTGTTTATGTCTCTCAGATATTTGAGTTCTCTCAAAAATGACATTCAGCTTTTTGTTTACTGTAATTTCCACATTATTTGGAACTATTGCCACATTATTCAATTGCTACATTCTTTAAAACTGCAGTTGGTTATGCCCTTCTTTCATTTAATTAAATTTTTAGACCTTTTTTTCTAGTTTTCCAAACTACTTTTTAATTACCAGCCAAGACTTCATTACATTTGCGGCCCCTCCTAGTTTACCACTGTATGCAATTTTAGTAAGCAGATCCTTCAGGTTGTCAGTAAAACATGGAATAAAACCACATGTATCACCTACCTGTTGAATACTAAATGATACATCATTTTTTTTTTTGGCAATGAACCATTAACAGCTATTTGTTAGGCAAGGTTATCCAGTAATTTTCCACCCATCCAATCCCAGTTTCACCTAGTCCTTAATTCTCTATGCCATATTTAGGAGATTTTAATGAGGAAAGGTATTAATATCACAGTAAGATATACAGCTTCTCTCCTATCTACCAGGACAGTTAACTGCTCACAAAAGAGCATTAAATCTGTTTAATGATTTCTTCAAAATAAATGAATGTTGCTTTTATTCATCTGTTATCTTCCAAGTGCTCGCAAACTGTTTGTGCATATGGAGTGACTGTCTCATAATTCCCTGGCTCTTGCACGTCCTCTTTCTGAAGACAAGGATTATACTTCTGGTTTTCGAAACTTCTGGTAATTTATCCATCTCTCACAATTTCACAATAAGGAAGTTTGAAAAATCACAGTCAAAGAGTGCTTCCCCACACACACCCCTGGAAATACCAGCTCCTCTTCTCGCCTTTTCAAACGAGATACTGCAAAAGCTCAGCCACTGTTTACAGAAATGCACGCTCTTCAAGTTCACTTCTCCTGCATAAGGGTTGTAAGTTTTTAAGAACACACACTGCTTCATGACTGCTCCCTGCTAAGCTGTCTCCTGCCTTCTCCCTCTCAGCTTTGCTTATGTTCTGTGATTCTGTGATTCTATTCCTTTCTCAACGAATGCACCCAATCCAAAGAAACCATATTGGGATTCTGCAAGCTGCTCACAAGAAACCTTCTTCACTCATCTGGCCTGGGAGTCTTTAATAAAGAGAAGAGAGCACTTGCTTTCTCCTGCTCCATCATCTCAGATAATTCCAGCAAATACAATTCTTCCATGATCTGGAGCTCAGAATGAAGGTAGCAAAGACGTATACCTTACCTCTGAGCTCCAGCTATGTCTGTGATGCAATTTCAGTGGGTTTAGATACGTGCAAACTAGCACAAGAGTCTTTTTATATTATTAAAATGTTAGTTTAATAAGAACATTTAATGTAATATTTTAGTATTATCCCAAATACAAAAAGGTAATTTTAATAAATAGCAAATATTTGATGAACGTTTGACAATACATGGACAGGTGAAAAAAACCCCAAGGAAAATGCATCTCTTTATAGAAGACTTCTGAAAAAATGACAATGTAGGTATCTGGTGTATGTTACTAAAAGTTTTTAATGAGAATAGCTAATTATCAGTAAAATGACTACGCAATGCTGAAATACAAGAATAAAAATGAAAGACAAATGGTAAAGTCAATACTAATCAGAAACAAACAATTGTTTATCAAACAAAAATTCAAACTGTTTCAGAAACAAAATACACTGCTGTGATTCTGGATGTGTTTTGCAAATATTGGGGATAATTAAATATTGTGTCTGTTTAAAAAGTGCTGTTCAAAACAACAAACTTGACTCCCATGCATCCTGCAAAAATCCATCAGGACAAGACGCAGGAAGCTGGTAAAGCCCTGAGGTACAGCAACAAGAGGCTCGAACATGGACATCCCTTACCTTTGAGGGGGTATGAAGATTAAGGATGGGGTACTGAGTCTCTGCATTCTCCCTTGAAGGAATAAACTCAATCCCCAGAATTCCCCTGATGGGTGAATTCTCAGAAAACACACAGGCGTCACTCTTCTACATGGATAGCCTGCGGTAAGGGAAAATGGGGCTTTGTAACTGTGTTCCACCCTGTAAATTCCTACAGTGTGTCATTTTTGTCAAACTAGATTAATTCATGCCAGTGATACAGATGACTAATTGGACAAGCTGCTATTCAGAAAAATTAAGCGTTCAACAATACAAATACTACTTACAATAAGAATCAGGACTCTCAGTATGGCTGAGTGTTTCTCACACACTGGTATAGCTGTGCTGTAGAACAGCAGAACAGCAGGTACGTTCACAGTGTTTTCAAGTCTTGTGGATTTTTAACTTTTTCGAGATCTTTTTTGATGTGTACATAATAATTTTTGTCTTGAGCAGAAAACCACAACGAAATACATATAAACATGAGAGAAGCCAATAAAAGCATGAGTGGCACTAAGATGAAAATAAAATGACTGTTCACCATCTCCTCTGACACAAGACATTTAAGAGAACAGAACACAACTTTCTTACTTGCTGCATTTTGTCTGAGGTGTTAAAAGTCTTTCCTTGCCCAAGATATTTCTCGCTGAGATAGTAAAGTAAATAGGCAGCACATAATTTGAGTTCATCTGAACAGTTCTAGCAGGGTACAGTACCTGAACTATGAACTGTGAACTCACTCGAGTGGTGTACAAGTGGCACACACCAGTTTGTTATTTTCCTTTTTTCGCTCTACAAGCATCTGCTCTCACAACACTACAGAATTTCTCTTTGGTGCAAAGCTACATCTCTCCAGACTCATGGTTTTCAAAATGTTAAATGAGCTACTTAGCTAGAATTATTATGAAGATACTTATAAAGTTGCAGAGTATAACATGCATTTTCTAATGTGTAAGCACTACTATAAAATTGTCACGGTTGATGTAAACTTTACTTCTCATATCACATGACATTCTATATCTCAAGCTAAATAATAAAAAAGTTTAAAGCTCTGGACCAAGTAGTTGTAACAGGAAGGATTTTTCCAATTAGAAAATTTCCTCAAGTAAAAAGACAAAAATAAATGTATTTTGTTTGAACGAAGTTGATGGTGTGCTCACTTTTATAAATAAACAGAGCACTATTGCTATTGTAGATAAAAGAACAATTTTATATTGAGTGGGAAGATAATCACAGAGTTTAAAAATGAAAATAGTCTTCTAACGTCACATAATGCCAAGTAGGGACAAAATGAGAAAAGGGTATGACTGACATGTTGTCTCACTGAAAGATAATTGTAGCATAGAACTTCAGCATATGTTAACTTTCTGCTGTTAATTAAGCAGCAAGGGAAACTATATACAGCAAAAGAATACTACAATGAAACCAAGAGATAAACATTATAAGGATTCATAGATTCTGTATCATTAATAATTCATAAATTAACTATGTGGAATAATTTTAAACACAATTATTGTGGAAAAAAATATTAATAACATCTATAAGTGCCTTAAGCAATAATAGAAAATATGACAAGTTTTATTTAAAAAATTCACACCATCCTGAGTTAACAAATATTATTTCTGGCCTCTGAATTTCAAGTTCTTAAATCCTACTTCCTTTATTCCCCTTTATTCCTTTCCCAATTATGTACTGCTTCTGTTTTGCTTTTTTACCAACACACAATCAGAATGAAGGAATTGCTCTGCATGTGTTATTTTCCATGAGGTGGTACATCGACCCATATATGTATCCGTACGTGTAACGCACCGTGAGCAATATATATGGATCCATATATATAACAAACCACGAAATATAACACATCCATATATGCTGTCTTTTTTGTGACAGTCTGCCATTTGCTGAAATGTTTTCAGTTTTGATCTGCTTTCAGTGAGGTCTTTTTCTACAGGTTGTTGCTTAACTGCTCATTCCATATCCTACATTCACGCAGTTGGTTACTTTTGTCTAAGTATAAAACCTCCTGTCTATGCTGAATGTATTCTGCTTATTTCTGAAAGTCTGTCCATAGTCTCTGACAGCCTCTGTTCTGTGAGAGCCAATTTAATCCATTAGTGGTAGAAAATTCCAGAAAAACAAACAAATAAAACCAGAAGTCTTCCTACCAATTCAATAAATTAAACTGATCTAGAGTCTAAAAAATGCCAAAGTCTAACAAAGGTGAGGACGTTCTGCAGCCAAGAACATGGAGAGGGAAGTGAGATCACTGATTTCCAGCAGCATCAAGCTGTTATTTCAGCTGTCCAGGAAACACAACATTTAGTATCATCTTGAAATTTAATCATGCTCGCTCCAAGTCATTAATGACAATAATAAATAATACTAGATCCAGGTGAAAAATGCAGGAAACAGACAAAACAAAAAACTGCATCCTGAAATGTATCCAGGTCGCAACACTTGAGCTTACCTCTGTGGCATGAAGACTAAAGAAGACCTAAGGTTGGTTTTCAACATCTTGTTACAAAATCTACTGTTAAGAAGTAACACTAGCGATGCTCTTTTTATTTTCCAAAGTGATTTATAATTTTATTTAAATCCCTCCCTGCACTATTCTCTGATATAAGAGAAACATACCCTAGTGAGAACGACACTTAAAGCACCCTTTAATCCTCGGGAACTCTTGTGTTCTGGGTCATCAGGAGAGGGCATATCACAAAAATAGAAACTGTTGATAATTCCACACAAAGAGCTTGCTGCACTTTCACTTGTCTGGCTTACCGTGACAAAGGCTGGCATGGTTTCTGGAAAATATCATGCCATATATACAGTACATATTGTTTTCACACTGACAAAACTTCCAGAACTGATGCTGCTTGTGAATTATAATTCTTTAAGGTACTAATACAAAGAGAGGATCTATATGGAAGCCCTGATACAAATTCAATTTCCATTTTGCTGTCCCTCAAGGCTTCATATGAAGTTCACAAGTAGATCCACAATCATCGTGCTAGAGAGAGGAATGCTATTCCTGCACCCTTATGACAGAAAAATCTGAAGACTTCTGAATCTCCTCTGGGTATCTTTATGTCTCCCCACATGGAAAGTAAAGATGGCACTAAACCCAAGTGTCACCACTCCCAAAGTGCAAGAATTACACAAACTCCTTAAGTGAAGCAGCTGGGTAGGATTTAGGCACTTTGAGGAATAAGAGATTCAAGAAGTGCCAGGCTGGAAGGAAATTTGCCTGGATAGGCTTGAAGGGTTTGCTTTGTTCATTAATTTAAAAATTATTCAGAAGCACATCCATGTACTATGTAATCCAAACAAAACAAGCCTGTGAAACTGCCATATTATGGAAGTGCATACACGTATGTTATACAGTATTAAAGATAAACAAGCATAGTTACTACCTTACTCAAAAAACTTTCCTTTAATAATGATATTTTGAGTTCAGTCTTTTTACTGAACAGTTTCTACTACATATGTTGATGCTGTAGGAAGAACCAGTTGTGATGTTCACAACTGTTTTTTTTCATACCACCAGGTTTTCAAGGAGTAAGTATGCAGAAAACATCAGAGGTTCTATTAGCATTGCTACCCAAACTCAAACTTGATGAGAGATGTGGAACAGAAGCAGACTTTTCCTGGAATTTAAATGTCTGACACACTTGATTACAAACAAGTAGTTTTGACAGACTGAAATAATGGAAACAGGGAGGTAATGTTGCCTCTGCCAGTCAAAGCAAGCTACTGAACCTCAGGCTGCCTTGTTCTTCAGCAACAATATTTGTAAATCTTTCCTCCTATCAGTTCCTGTGGCTCCCAACTTGACAAACACATGGAGGAAAACAATCTTATTGACACATCCAGTATTGCCACACACACTTACCTCAGCACCCTATTTCAAAGGAATTTGAGGCTTTTTAGAGGCTCCCGTTCCTTTCACTGGAAGGAAAAATTCTAGTGTTTTCTCTTGAACAGAGTAAGGGATTTACCATGACACCAGTGTTGTAACCTTCTTACCTGAAGTGCAAGAGGCTTCCACCTCACATTCTTCAGAAGGGCAGGAGCAGAAACCAGGGTGTTCTGAGGACGTTTTTTCAAGGTTAAAATCACTCCATTTGGGTCTTCCCGCAATGCATTTACTAGGTTCTTTAACTGCCAGCCAACCTAAGGAAAAATTCCGTAATTGAATTTTGAAAGCTTTCCATTTAACTTTGAATGTGAAGTCTTCTATTAACTGAAAAGGTCTGTTACAGCCTACTCTTTGCAAACATAAGCAGTTTTTATAAACTGTATCTGATTACTTCTGTTGGACTGAAATGATGCTGCTAAAGCTGGATTTCTATTTTTTTTTAAGCTACATTTCTATGTTTCTCAAAACATTCGCTGCTGTGGAGGAAGACAGACTATGCTACAGCAACATATGTAACATATATATAACAGCTGTAAGATCATAACTGAAGATAAATGATCATTTACTTGATTTATCTATACAGCCTCTGGATAGAGCTGAGTAATTCATGTTACTATAAATTGTAAACATAGGCATAAAAAAAAATATCACTAGTACTGAGAGGATTTTATTTGTGCTGCTCACAAAAAGCTACTTAGGGACATTTCTTAATCTTCTTGATTATTTAAACATGAATTTACCATGGACTGTTTATGCATGAAAACAGAAAATTCTTTTATTTTTAAATTAATATTTCCACTATCCCATTATCCTGAGTGGTTGAAGGGGTTTTAAAACTGAATAATAATATAAATAACAGTATATAAAGATGTTTATGATAGAAGTAGTTTCTCACACATTTAAGTGCTGCTGAATTTCTATCCATATTTCCACAGGCATATGAGGAAAAAAAAAAAATCAACAAAAAAAGCTTATCAAAACAGTCAGATATATAGATTCAGGACTGAAAGTGAAATTCATAAAAATTTACATTTTTCTAAACCTCAGCCAATCTTTCTTCCAAGTTACACCACTGAAATCAGTAGAATTGTACTAGTTTAAATAAGATAATACATTTGGCTCCGTTCAGCAGTCCTTTTATGCTTCCTGGATGCAACTGATGTATTAGCTTGTTCACTAGGAATAAAATAAGAAGTTCCTACCACTTAGCACTTCACAGTGAATTATCACTAAGTTGGTTTGTCCTGTTTCCCGAGTAACACGATTACTGAAGAAATCTCTTTAATATTGCAGTCTCAAAAATGTGTCCTAGGTAATACCCAAATTAGTACTGATAGAGAGGAATATTTTGCAATGCTTATAAGAGTTGCTAACATTCACTTCTAAAGCTTGCAATTTTTGTCAATATACTTGTGACCTGACCTAGATAACCAGCTTTAAACCACAAAGTTTGAAATTTTTCTCTCCCACTGACGTCAAAACACTGGTACAACTAAAGCAGACTCTTAGTTACTCAGACCTAACCTTAGCCCTGGGTCCCAAGGTCTAAGCTATTGCCTCCATTTATTCTCATCTTGTTGTTTTCAGGAAGTATACCATGGATCTTACTGAAGTCACTCAAATTACAGGAACAAACTTACCTAGAAAGGAATTACTGGAAAGAGTAACCACTTGCAAGTGACAGTTATGTTACTGGCTCACATTTAGCCCTGGGAAACAGCAAGACATGCACAAGTATTTATAGGGAGGATTTTGGAGGATTTTCTTGTCCTTGTTTATTTTCATCTCCTCCTCTTCACACCATTTCTAGATTTGCCACTCAAGGAAAGTGAATAGGTGCAGGATAGACTCTCCACTTACCCTTTTAAATTTTGCATCCTTTATAAAACACTTGAGTCAGCTTTTAATTTGAACACTGATGGTTCTTTCCTACCCACAGTTCTGCCAAACAAAGCAGTAGGAATCCAACCCTGCACAGAATATTTTATCAAAAGTCAATTTCTTTCTCAGAAAAGCTGAGCCCCCGGCACCAATAAAAGTGCCTGTATTAGACTCTGCACTCCATTTTCTACTCCAAACATGGCAGATTTTTACAGTAGCAATAAATGACCATAGTAAAGACCTGTCATAAGTGTTATAACTACCACAAGTCTTAAGCCCTAGTGTCAAGCTGATCTGTACTGAACAGGAATTAGAATGCTGTGTTCGTAGAGCAGCTCTCCAGACACAACCTTACCGAGGCCAAACTGCAGCAGCCTTAAAGCGAATGTTTCAGAATGAAAAGCTCAGGGAATAGAAGAGCAGTTACTGTACAAGTACATGCAAGCATTGTGATGGTATATTTCCTATGCTTTTTGACTGCATTTGACATGTCAGAGTTCACTGTAACACTCTAATCATCATTGATCTTCTGACCAAAGTATGTATTCCCACTGTTATTAGAAAACAACAACGTAGGAAAACAAATGTAGATGTTCAGAATCAGAGCAGCCTGCACATATCACCATATAATATCAGGTGTAGTTTATAAACACTTCCTCTTAGAGGAAGATAATATCTGATAACACACGAAGGTGGAGAGAAAATAATAAAGGCAACCTTGAAGAGATTTCAATTAAAATCCTGTTATAAAGGCTGAAGAGAAGTGAAGATATAAACTGTAAGGTTCTAGCCTGTCCCTACAGCGAGCTGAGGCCAGGATCCTCAGTGAGAACATTCCACTCAGAAAGGACTGCAATATGTGTGTAAATCTAAAAAGGATTTTAACAGCTTTTAAAAGTTCTATTTTTAATGTTGCTGTTCTATTGAAAACTTTCAAAAAATGCACTGGCCACAGGAACCCAGAAAACAGTAGTAATTATCAACAGGCCACAGCTAAACAAATGGAAGTATGTCAAGATACATTCCAAATGAACCCTTCCAGTTTATGCTTTGTTTATAAAATGACAGAGGCTGTATTTTTTTTTTTTACTCAATTACAGATTTAAAAATAAACTATTTTTGATTTTTATACATGGATGTAATTTTCAGAAGGCTGAAATCTTTCGAGTTTCATGAGCTCCTTTTAGAAAAGAATGATAAATAATTAAGTTAACGATAAATTATTCCAATGAGAACCTTAATGACAAAACCATTAAATACCAAGATCTATTAGAGAACAGTCTGTAGTCATTACTACTAGGTGATGATAAAATGCTCTTAGGAATTTGGACATGTTATTATAAATTGTATTACTAAAAATATCTTTGAAAAAATAGAAGTCATTACAGTGGATTAAAAAATCTTAGTTGAAAACCAGTCCTTGAGACAGATTTTGACATTTATTCTTAAAGAATCCGTCTCTAATAACAATACCAACAATACTAACAATAGCTTCTAGCTATGTTAAGATGTCTTCAGCAAAAGGTCATTTTGCTCCTTTAAGATTTTTAGCATATACATTCAGTTAATCAAACTCTACAATATGGGTTAAGATATTTCACTAAGTAATGAATGTTTAATATTAAAATTAGATTATTGAAGGAAAAAAAAAAGACTGATATTTAGAACATTCTATATTGCACACCACCTGAAAACATGTAATTATGCTTTGACTGCAGTAACCCTTACGTGAACCAGGACAGATGTTTCCCCTCAAGGCTCTTTAAATACATAAGCAAAGCCATCTGGATACTTACTTGGACCTCAAGAGTATGACCTCTCTTCATATTTGCATTAGGAAAAAAATAAATTAAAAAAAAAAGATGGCTTGTATAAACTCAACTTTTTGTTAAGGAAACAGACCATCATCCCTTCGTATTTTAAGTCTATAATTCACTTTGCCTTGTCAGGGAATTAATCAAGGGAATTTGTTTGATTAACATGGAAATCAGAAATTATTATTAGACAAAAATATGCTGGAAGGTCATAAGACTGCTTTCTGTGACTGAATGGGAAGCTCATCATTAACACCTGTAGCTGATTCAGTCTTATTAATATTCTAACTGTTACTAACAATAAATGATGATGGAAAAACAAATGTTGTCCCGTTATATTACATAGTTATTTTCATTGACTAATGGAGAAATACAGCAAGATTCTAAGAACATGCAAGATCTGCTACTGGAGGACTTGCATTACTAGTAGCCTTTCTGAAAGCCAGAATCCTGAGAATAAGTAACATGTGGCAACATGTTTTAAAAGAGAATGACATCTTTTGGGGAAAGAAGTAATTCTCATGACATCTCTCCTTCAGTTTTTATCTTTCCTTTTCCTACTTGTATTTCACAATACAGAGTGTGCTGAAACACAGATGGTGTGACCTGGCACTATATTTAAAGATTTACCTCCATCTAAAGTGAGCTCTCATTAAGTCTCAAATTTACAATTCAACAAACATACACCTAGGACATTAATTCAATAAACATCTTAACACCAATAAATTAGCTCTGAAATTATTTCATTGTATCAGGACTCTTGACAATATATGTAATTTTGAATATATGACAATATGTAATCTTGAAAAAGTCTGTGATTTGACAATGAACAGTATGAAAGGGTATTAGGCTGCTGGTCATGTATTTACATAGCACCAATTATTCCAAAGAATAACCTTATGAAGCATGAAAATTAAACTACATGAGTTTAAAACAACAGTTACTTAAAGATAACAACAAACACACAACAAAGTGAAGGTGTTAGAACTGAAAGAGCCCTTCTAGGCTTGCACATCCATTTGTTTTCTCTTCTACATAGCTGCAGGCAACTCCAATGTAATAATTTTCACCAGTTCTTCAACCCCCATCCTAATCAGACCCCTTAAATCTGACCACTGATTTCCTTACAGATGTTTGCACGGATGCTTGCTCTGCAACAACATTGTTTTTTACCTTAAAGAGTTCTCTGCCTGTTAAGAAAGAGGAATTCTGTCTCAGACCAAGCTGGCTGGGTTAACTGAATTGAAATCCTTAAAAAAATTATCTTCCTATGAGACAGATGATACATTTTCTTTTTTACCCATTACACTTTTTAATGTTCATATAACTTCACACCTTTGATAACTGTAAATGACCTGAACACCACGCAGTAGTTCAGACAAAGTATTACCAATGTCAAGACAATGGCATTAAAACTATTTCTCCTGGAAACATGTTCCTGATTAATTCTAAGTTCATCTTTGCCATTTTCAGTCACATTACCTCTATAGCGTTCAGTTGATTTGGGATTAATTACTACATTCTGACTTCTGGAGTCTTGCCAGTTGCTCCTGAGTAAC